TAGACTTTTCAGAATAAGCAAAAAGTATTTTTTTTTCTATTATGTTTGTTGATTGTTTCTTGATTATTAGAATAATAAACGAAATGATTTGCATTAAAATTTGCGTGATATATAAAATTACTTTCTCTATTATAATAAAAAGGCTATAAATAATTTTGTGCATTAACACTTTGAAATTAACAGTCGTAAAATGATATCAATGGTTACAAATGTACACACACACACACACACACACACACACACACACACACATTCAATTCGGAACATTCACACTTATCCTTATATTTAATGTCGTGAAACAGCTCGATTATATGACAAAATTTATACTTTATCGCGTGAATCAGCAATGCCGAATGAATAATATATGGAGAAAAAATTCGATTGGCTTTTAAATTTTTTTTGCACATTTAATTGTAAAATTAATATTGAGAGAGCTTGCATAACAAAATTTTCAATTTTGCAAACATAACATTTAGAAATTTATGGAATGATCGTGATTATTTAATAAAATTGCATATAAAATTTATTAAAAAATTAGAATACAATTATGTTTAACATTAAATTAATTATGACAGTATAATTTTGATTTGTAATTATTTTAAATGAGGCTCATAAACGAAATAAAGACGGCTCAAAGTCAGTCAAATGATAAAATATTTTTACTGCTTTTAACTGTCATAATATTGTATTTCATGTAATTTTGCAGCGTGGTTGGAACTTTTAAATCTATAAATTCGTTTCCAGTATAAAGATGAATAAAGATATATAAAGATGAACGTAGATTATATAAAAATTAGTAAGCGAATCGAAACTTCAACTGGCCAGTGAATTGATCGAGGATATGTCAGAAATTTAATCACAACGTCCGACCAATTTTCAATAAATGGACGCTAGTCATTCGAACATCGTAATAAATAGCTCACAGAAATTACCGTTTCATCCTTAATAATGCTCATGTGTCATATTAATATATTCCTTAAATGCAATTAAAAGTCACATTGCAAATCAACCTTGCACTATTGCATTAAACAAAACAACAAAGTAGCGTAACTCAACGCTGGTCAATGCAATTGCATCCCGGTGCCTCACATATGCATATGCGAAATATCGCCCATCTTTCATTATTTTTGCCATAGTCATTCTCTCGCCATCGCGTGCACATTACGCGGTGCGCCTCTCGACTGCGGAATGGTCATAACTTGGCAACGTGGCTTTCATCTGCCGCGCCTCTTTACTAAGAAGGTAGTAGTAGTTACTCTTGTAGAGATTGCATCTCGCGCTCTGTTTTCTCATATAATAAGGCTTGGAAAAGTCGGGAAAAGCAATCGATTACAAGTGAGCGCACTTCTTCGCTAAGCTTTTGTTTGCCGGCTTCTCTATCTGATGACACTGTCTGGGACTTTTTTCCACGCAATGTTTATATGTTTATGTTGCTTTTTCCCTCGATTTTTAATGTAGTTTTATGAGATAAGGGGGCGTTCTTCTTTTATATTGAGTACGCTTATTTTTAGAAAAATAAGAAAATTTCCATTATATCGCTTTGAATTTTTCATTCTGAACTTTTAAAAATAATTTTTATTTTCCATTATTCTCTTTCTTCGCACGGCTGTAATATTCCGAGGAATTTACGTTAGAATTGAAAAAATTACTTACAGATTAACCGAGTTACTTGTAATTAAAAGCTAAAAATGCAAATAATAGAATTATACTTGTGTGTGTGCAACCACATCCAATGTTTATTATGTTATGTAATATGCTAACCTTTTCAAGTGTAATAAATAATTTTTTTCTTCTTTTAAATCAATTTTTACCTTATGGTTTATACGATCTTGTAAGTTAATCAAATCTAATAATCCTGTATTCCACTAATGTCCATTAATCGAAGTATCTACATTCCATTAAAGAAGATTAAACCCGATTAACCTTTGCCATCTCTTGATATACTAGTACAATATAATAACAAAATTTTCCAATAATTTCTATGTCAAACAATGTTATATATATATATATATATATATATTAATAAGAGTAATTTCATCATTTAAAATTTTTTGTAAAAATTTTACTGCTCAAAATAATCAGTGTATTAAGTTACGTAAATTACGTTTAAAGTTTAGAAATAATTAAAAATGCTGTATATTATATTGAATAATTACGTGCATATAAAGTAATTCTTTATTACGGCGAAGCATTTCTTATTATAAAATCACTAACGACTCCTTATCTATCTACTTCTATCTATTTGTATACATATTTTTATATGCATATATATTTACTATGGTTAAACGTACATATAGTTACATTTATATTGAAATCAATAAAATGTCAGAGGCTACTTATTATTTGTTAACTGACATTTTAAACACTTCATACGTCCATAGAATTATGTAGTTTCAAGCAGAATGAAAAAAAGAAAAGGAAAAAGAAAATTTCCGAAGATAATGTACTAATTAAGAGTACTTTCGTTTTTAACAGTACTAATTACATTGATCAGTCCCATACTTTAAATTATGCTAATTTGTTCAGTCCTTCAAATAAAATTGCATTAAAATCAATTACCCGAGCTACTTCACTTTTGTTCTACTTCCGCAACATATACAGTAAAACTTATACACATAAACCACGTCACTTTAATATACACTTATTTCAAACAAATTTTCATAAAAATTAAATAGCATTTAGTTCTATTGCTTACTTAACTTCAATATTTTTGCCTTTTTGTTCATTAATTTTTCTAAAAAGAGAAAATAAAATAATAGCGTAGTTTTATTATTGAGTATTATTAAAGTATTTTTTAAATGATATTTTGATTATAAATATATATATAAGAGAAAACGTACAGAGTACGAAATAGAAAAATTATGATAATTTATTGCTTGTTTAATTTCGTAAAATTAAATGATGGCATTATTAAAATTATTACATTATTTTAAAAACTTTTATGCATTATTTGAAAAATAATTCATTAATAAATATAGGTTAGTGCTTTTATTTATTATTATTATATATATATATATATATATATAATATTATATATTATATATAATAAATAATTTAATTTAAAAAATAAATTAATTGTAGTATGAACACTATATCGTATTATCACATACATAGAGCCTTATAGAAAAAATAATATTACCAATTAATTAAATAACCAGTTAAAAGGTATTTCAACTTGATTCACGCATACTTATGAAAAAAGTATACTAGTAAAATATAATCAATAGTCAATATTCGATTAATCCTTATAAACAAACATATAAACGAAGACTTTTTTAAATATATATTTTTTCAATATTCAATAGGGAAGGAATTCATAATAAAAGCGAATCACTAAAATACAATGTGTAGAATAATTTTAGGGTGGATATTATTTTTTTAATGAAATAATCTAGGTGAAATTTTTTTATAGAGTACAATTACAATTCTGATGAACTAATCTTAAAAATCGAGTAATTAAATATAAAAATATAATATAAATATAATATAATACGTTATTAAAAAATCATATGGTTTTAAAATGTCATGAGAATGGTTAGGCTAAAGGAATATTGAAGGAGAATATCGAATATAATAAATATTCTAGATTAACGAATCCGTACTTGAATAACGTATTAAGGATACTCAAATTTCATTTAGCTGAAAATATGAATTCGTTAATTATACTTTAGATAAATTATTAATTTAGCATAAAAAGTATTTATTTGTTATAAATATTAACCAAGCATGATTTATTCTATTTTTACCTTTGAAATGATAATATGTTGTTTTGCTCTGATTGTATAAACTACGATCTCCCCTTCGACTATGATTTCTACAGTTTCATTAGAATAGATTGAGATTGGAACGAGAGAAATTAGAAAAGTATCTTGAACATGAATATAAATTGGTTCAAAAAGTTCAGAGAATGTTTGCGAAGATAACTTTTTTTATTAAAAAGATCCTTTACAATAAAAAAATATAGATATATCAGTGAAGCGTAAATAAGCGTATAAATAGAAAAGACGTTAATAAGTCAAAGAGATTGACATTTCTGTAATGAAAGAATTTCACGGAAAAAAGTAATCTAAAAGAACTGGTAAGGTAAATTTAGATATTTTTGAAACCATAGAAAATGTTATATTTAATGATAAGTAACGAGCATCATGTACTAATTTTATAATTGTAAATTTTAATTTACCACATAAATAATAAATTGTATAAATATAATATAAATTAATATTCTTTATATGTATGTCACATGTTTAAGAAAAATTTCTTTTGATATTTTAAATTAACGAAATAATTATATAGAATTAATGAATCAATTATATTTATACCTAAAATATAAATGATGGAAAATTATTTACAATATTATGAATAATAATTATTTAAATGTAAAAGTGTACGTTATTAAAAATATACAAATTTTATTGAAATAAGCACTAAAATTTTCATCGTTTGTTCGTTCATTGACACACTCTCACACATACAAATATTTACCTTTCAGTTTCTTTTATGATTGAAGAATTCAAGTAATCATTATAAATATATATACCTTAATACCTAAAAAACTTATAAAAACATTTATATATAAGAATATCATTTAAAAACATGAACAATTCGTGTTTATAAAATACTGGAAAGTACTCGCATTAATTTTAAACAACAAATTTTAATATTTTTAAATCACCAATTATGTAATTATGCGTATAAAAAATAATACTTTCACAATATGAGTTTAATAAAATGTAGAGTATCCATTATAAAATTACATGAAAACTAAAATTTGAACATTTATTCAAATGTTATATGCATCATGTGAAATATCTAAATGTTTTAAAAAATATTTTCAATGCTTAAATTGTGTAAAGAATTAAAATTGGATAAATAAGAGGTGGAAATTATGAATAAACTAGTAGTTTGTTTCTTGGAAAATTTTTATGACATTAAAAATATGCCAATTTATATAGAATTAGAGACATATTTTATTGCAGCTGATTATTTACTTTTTGTTTTAGAATCTTTGGATAAGTGGAACAGCTACGGAGGTAAAAGGACCAGTACGCGTTGTCCACCGGTTCGTCGAAATGCCTAAACAGAAAGCAAATTTTTATAATGAAACTACAAAGAAGATGGAGGAGGTAATCATACATTTCTTCATTATTTTTCAAACAAGTACATTTCCATTTTTCTTTTATCCACCAGATCCGGAGCCTCTCTCCCCTTCTTTCTCTCACAATATTTACAATATATGTCTTTATCTTGTCTCTATTCAATTTATTCCTTCTATCGTGTCTATCCCCTTTTTACTTTCAATCCATTCAAGTGTATCGGGTTGGCCGAGCGTGTACGAGAGCCGACGATATGACGAAATTTTCGACAATCGAGACAAGGTCGGCTCTTGCTCATTCTAACTATTGTTGTACATCAGATTAGAGTGTAAAATACCGTGGTGGTAAGCGCATCTGTACAGGTATGCGCCAATTGGCGGCCGTTCGTTAAGACAGAGTGAGAGCTACAAATTTTAAACAAACGTAATGTCCCTACGATTGTGCACAACGAAAAGTGAGCTTCGAGATCGTTAGGACACGAGTGTAAGGAAGTGAGACGATTCGCGTGCCTAGCACTGTCAATGCATGTGAACGGATTTAAAAAATTTAAAGGCGCTGTGTTTTGAAGCTCAGTATTTGTATTTTTAAGATTTACAAATCATCAATTTATAATATTTCTGATTTTTTATTTATAAATAATATAAATCGATTTATTACATTTCCACGTTTAAACAGACTCTCCTCGGATCCTCGTAACGCTATGACGCACTTTCTTTCACAATCAGAGGAAATTGTAATTCGTAATACATTTTACGCTAATTTAATTTTCAGTATAATCGTTGGTCCGATTTCGATTTCGAGGTCCGATGTACCAAGCAACATCTTAAGTACATGAGGTTTTCTTCTAATTCTTTTCTATCAGACAATCGATAATTTTTATATTCTATCTATATGCTGACTTAAGAATTAAATGCAGAACTAAGTTGCAATTGGGCAATGAATTTCCAAACAGAGTATACATAATTTGATAAAAATGAAATCAATCAACTAAATGTAGATAGTAAGAAGAAATTATTAGGCCACAATTAGTGCTGTGTAATTTCTTGTCGAATAAGACGAAATATTTCAACTATTTCGTGAATTATTAATGGAAAATTTATTTATTTAATTATTCATTTATATATTATATTCACATGACTTAGATACATATATACATATATACATAATAATATAGTGGTAATATTTTATGTAAAATAAAAAATATTTGGATAAATTTTCTCAATTCATATTAAACACAATAATCAAGAAAAATTAAAAGCACATTTATTGAATTAATTATAAATCAGTGCAGGTTTAATTCCAATATTTTATCTATAATTATATACTTCCAAAACTCTATCATAATTAAGACACACATTTAGAATGGAACAAGCATGATATAAGCTTAGATTTTAATTACTTTTATCACGACAAACGTCATTAATTTGAAAGCGAACGAGCTAATCCAACGTTAAACGGTAAATCTTCACACTCGCATTTATTTTAAAGGTGCAAGGTTGTTTTCCGGCAATGGGATACAGTTTTGCAGCTGGTACGACTGATGGGCCTGGCTCTTTTGCATTCGAGCAAGGCACAACAACATCTAATCCTTTTTGGAACGCGGTGCGCAACTTTTTGGCAAAACCCTTGGACGAGGATGTGCGTTGTCACGGTGCCAAGCCGATTCTCCTAGCCACAGGTCGAGTGAGTACAGCTTCAACAAACTCTATAGTAGATTCCAAATGGGAGTAACAGGATAGTAGATTGGCATATTCTCGCTCAAGCGACTTAATCTGCTAGTATATGAACAAAAACAAAAACAAAAACAAAAACAAAAACAAAAACAAAACAAAAAATAAATAAATAAATATAATTCGAGAAAGGAGCAATTTTATTTAAATTTATACTGTATTTACGAGCAGAATTTTCATAAAGACTAATTTTTTAAATACACCAAATTCAAATATTATATGTTTATTTATATGAATTTGAGACGTAATGGACATTGATAATTATATATATTAAATTTATTCCGTATATAATAGCCTAAGTAATGATAATAATAATATATTTAATACTATAGTTGCAAAAGACTTTTAATTATCTACTAATTAATTCTATACATTATTAACTGCAATCTCTTAGGTATTATTAATTACATAGATTATGAAAATCATTTTATTCTTCTGGAAATTTGCACAACAATGAAAGTCCTCGATTACATTTGTTGACCTTACATTTCTTATGCATTACAAATGATATGTGTAAATTTATACTCAAAATATATTTCAGGCTTTATACAGTGAAACGTTAAATAATTAAATTACAAAATTCAAATATTCAACAATATTTCACTTTAATCTTAAAAGGTCTCAATATCTAAAAACGTACGTTAAATGATTATATGGCAAAACAATTTCTTAATAAATCTAGTAAGTAAAGTCGTGAAATATACCAGAGATTATTATAATTTATATCCTGAGTTAGGATATTAAGTGAATCTCAGCTTGTGCACTCAGATATTTGAACATCTCGGATAAGAAATAATTAACTATTGAATAATAAGGTTTTGTAAGTATTTGTAAATAATATTAACATCCATTTTAAAAAAATATTTATATAGTACAAAAAAGGTTATTATTAAAACTATTTTTGAAAAAAGTATAAAAATGTATTTATTGTTAAATTATTTTGAACAATGAAATTTAGTCAACTATTTATAATTAATTAATTGTAAATAAAAAATGTTGCAATAATAAAACGAAAAAAATTCGTAAAAAAAGATGCAATGTTTGTTTAATTATGCAAATTAAAGTCGCTCTCATTGAATCACTGAATCATTTCCCATGTGGTTTTAATGTAATATTCAATGAAATTATTTACACGGTTAAATTTAAAGAAAAAAAGAAAATAATAAACATCAAATTGATCATTTATTTTTTACAATCTGTAATATTTCAAATTTCTTTAATATTATGTAAAGAAAATTTTAAAAGAATACTAATCAGTATGGATTAAAAAAAACACTCATATGTATATTTACACTCACAATTAATATTTCACTTACAATTTCATTATCAATAATAGATAATTATAGTATAGCTAATTATAGTATGAATAATGTTATTAAAAAAAGAAAGAACGAGTATACATAGAAAATATTAATTAATTCTAATGTTAGTATCTTAGAAATGAGTAATAATGAAAATTCGATTCCGTGATCAGAAACCACAAACTGGCAACTTAAAGTATTTTGAACAGCAAAATTTGATATATTTTGTAATATTGCAATTCTTTATTTTAATTTCATCTTGCTGATCACTGATAAAACTGCTAAACCTAATAAATATCATTAATTAAATATCATTAAGTAAAATTCATGCATTATGATATGTATTGCGAGTATAGTAGGTCAAGCGTTCGCAAACGAGTACGACCAAAAGAGTTGAGCTCGTCCTTCCTTTACAACGATAAAAAAAAAAAAACTAAAATATAGAGTCGCTTAATCTCGGAATAAAATGATAAAAAAATAAATAAACTTCTAATAAGATTCTGATATAATGGATTAATACTTGAATCAAGTTAAATTATCGTTTAAAACATTTAACGTTTTACGTCGAAATGTCAGAAACTTATTTTCAGCTTTTAATCTCCTTTTTTAAATGCGTTTTAATATCGCTAAAAATTCTATTCAATTTATTTGTAATTTTAACAGAAAAGATAAAAGTTTTTCTTGTCTTAAAAAAGTATGCGTTTGTATAATGAAGTTTTTAAATGAAATTTTATTGTCTTTATTTTAATAGAAAGAGAATTCAAAAACAAATTTTTGACATAAATTTTTGAAATATGTTTGTATGTATAGGATAATACGATAAAAATGGTCGTATATATATATATATATATATATGTATATATATATTAATTTTGTATATATACATTATTTGAGTGAATTTTAAGACCTATATTATTCCTTAATACAATCTAAAATAATAAAATTTAAATATCCATTCAGTTTAGTTATAATTTTTTATTTTTTTCATTGAAAAATCAAAAAAACATATGCAATCTATCGATACAAACAGACAATTGTCTTTAATGTTATTAGAAGTTCATTTTGTGTTATCGTTATTTTATGTTGTATTGAAATATGAAACTGCTAGTCAATTGTTACTATAGGAAGACAGTTTTAATTAATTCTTCATTATATTTCGCACTCCACGTTTTATTTGATTGAATGAAAGAATATTTTTTCTTATGAAATATCAAACACATATACACTCTTCTTAGTATTCTGACTTGTTATCGAAATAGAATGAACTTTATTTATTATGTAAACGTAAATTGGCAATTAGTTGTTGCTGACAAATTATTACGAGACACTTTTATACAGTTATTTAAGAAATTTTAGATGAACAAATAGTATTTCTTTAAATAATAATCAATATAAAAAGTCACCTATATTGAATTCCCTTTATGTAATTGTATAAATTACGACATTGTACTTATAAATTGAATATTTTGATTAAATTTTTTATACCTATAAATTTTACATAAATTCAATTTTATATATATTAGTTATATATAAAACATTTAGTAATTTTATATAATAATTATTCAATCGCTTATTATTTGAGAAAAAAATTGAAGTATTTAATATTTAAATAGTTATGAAATTTTTGCTATAAAACATGAATAATGAATGCATTAAAATAATCTATAATATTAGTTATTAGTTGAAACTAATTCACTATTCCATAAATAATAAATTGCGAAATAAATTGTAATTATATATTAATAGATGATATTTTCATTGAAGTAGTTTTTCATATTTTGTTATAATTGTTATATCGGTAATAACTTGATAATTGTTAATAATTGAATATACTATATTTGTTATTTTTATAATATAATTATGAATTACTAATAATCATTCGATTACGTATCTTATTCAGTTACGATTATTTTTTTAAGACTATTTTACAAACTTTTAAGTAATATTACAAGAAAATCGATTGATATTATTTTATTTTCATTTACTCTCTTTATTCGAGTAAATAAATTACTCTAAAAATTATAAGTATTTTCATCGCCTAATTATTTATCGAAAACAATAAATTTAAGTTAATACGATAAATTAATATGATAATTTAAAAACTTAGGCCTACTAAGTTGTAAGCAATTAATATTTTGACAGATAACATATACAGTTTCTCTGTTTATTAATATTTTATCACTTAATGCGTATACTTTATATAACACTTAATAATAAAGTATTTGTATATGAATCGTACTTGTGGATAAAAATATCTCTAAACTGAAAAGAAATTAATATACCATCATAGTAGGAAAAATTATAGGTAGACGCGAAGAAAATATACGGTAAAGTTAATTAAATAAAAGATACGGACTTTTTATTTTCTCAAAAATAACAATTAAATATAATTTATTTATGTCTTATTTATTATCAATTTTTATAGAATTATTGCTGCAATAATTGTTATCTTGAAAATGAAAAGACTTTTTAATTTGTGAAATACATAATTTGTAAGTGAAGGACTTCTCAAGTCAGCTGAAAAGCGTAAAGTGCGCGTCGTTAAGCGAAATTTTCCGCTTTCTTCGGAGAAATAAGAAAGTAAATAAAAATGTAAAATATTATATAGATGGTATTGCCGTATCAGTGGCAGCCGAAGATCGTCTCAACCCATTTTGCTCTCGTGGGAAATGTGGCCATTGCCGGAGTACCTGGTGAATTTACAACAATGTCAGGCAGAAGATTACGCAACACAGTGAAAAATGCCATTGCTAACGCAGATAAATCAATAGAAGATGTCCAAGTCATTGTTGCTGGACTTTGCAATACATACAGCGATTATATTGCCACCCCCGAGGAATATCAAGTATTTTTATTACCATTCATAATGTGTTCTATTTAATAAAAATCAAACTTTTCTACAAATGCAATACAATAAAAGACAAAATTAATTAAAAATATATTAAATAGGACTTTTTCTAGATATTAAATTATCAAATAATAGTTTCCCTAATGTTTTCACACGCAATTGTCGTTACATTGAATTTAATACAAGTAAATCAAGATTAAGATATTGCAAAAATATTATTTTTAATATTTCATTGTCATTTAATTGTCATTATAAGATATTGTTTACTTGACATATCATTCACTATGTAACATTGATGCTGATAGTGCCAATTTATATATTAAACCATAGGATAGCCGCAACTGCATTTAGATATTAAGTCAATACAAAGACACACTTAATATTTTTCACCGATTATATTAGCATTTATTTTGTTCAACACCGTTGAACTTTTCAACAGATCCAAAGATATGAGGGTGCGTCAACGATTTTCGGACCGCACACATTGACTATTTACTTAAAGCAGTATACCGAACTCGCCATACACGCAGCGCTTGTAAGTTTCGATCGATAGTTCCAATGCTTTATTACTAACTTCTACCAATAGCACATAATATTTATAGAAAATAGCCGTCGAATCTGGGCCAACACCATTGGATCTATCAAAAGAAAAATTGATAAGCCTGGTGCCACCGGTCTTATTCGATTCACCAAAATGGGGTACGGAGTTTGGAGAATGTGTTAAACAACCATCGCGATTCGCTCGTCCCGGTGACGTTGTTGTCGCCAGATTTGTAAGTTTTTTTTTTTTTTTTTTTAATAATAACACCTTCTTATACCCAAATCCACAATTTAAGCTTATCGCAGCCGTAAAAAGATACTTACGATAAGAAATCCCCAATTTTAGCGAATAAAAAATTCATGTATTTGTTTTAATTTTTATTTGAAATTTAAATTTCAAATGATCTGTAGTACAATAGCATGCATTATTTTTATATTATTTTATTCATTTTTAAATTTAATATACTTTTTTTAAATTTATGTATTATATTATTATTCATTTTTAAATCCGTTTTAAAAGTTTGTTCTGTTTAATTCTGCATTTAAAATAAATCAACGTAAAATAAAATTTATTTTCACAATTAGTTAATTCATCTAGAAAATATTGTAATATTTATCAAGCAAAACAGATATCATAATTTTTTTTAATCCTTTATTACAAATTTGCTAAATAAAAGTGTTGTAATCATATAACGAATGAAATACTAAAAAATTTAATATTGATTTGAAGCCTGTTAATTCCAATTAATTTAAAAATTAATGATTTTGTTTAGAGAAAGATTTAAAAATAAATATTTTAAAAATTAATTTTCATACCATACTTGACATAATATAATTTATCATATTTTTGATGTTTCTTTTTTGAATAGACGATTAAATTCCTTAAATAGATTAGATATCTAAATTCTTTTTAAATTATCATTTCAATTTTAATTTCAATACATATGTCAAAAAATATAAGAGAAACTTCAGATCTTTTGAAGCGCATTTATGGGTATCTGCATTAAAAATAAGATACATAAATTTAATTATTAAATCTTTTTTGTGCTGCTTTTTCATTAATCATAACCCATTTATTACAATAATGAACTGAATATTAAAAAATCTGCACAAAAAAACGTAATAACATGAAAAATTCTATTTAAAATATTATTTCAAACATTTCTCATATTTCATTAAATCCGCTTGCCATTTCGCCTGCCAGATTTTTCAAGCGGAATCTATTTAATGGATGTTTCTTAATTATCGGTGTAAATTTTTACTTAATAACTCTTCATTGGAATTTACATACATAAGTTTTTACGATTCAAGTAAGAACAATAAAATGAAAACCAGTTTTTTTTTTTTTTTTTTTTGTAAAACTTAGCGATCGTCACTTTACGCTAAAGTGTTCTATTCCAACATTCGCGCATTATTAATGCTCTGTTCCAGCCCTAATATAGACACTCGCATATTAATTTAAGTGTACGTATAAGAGAAGGTTGCTCATATAAAAAGTAAATTTTGTGGTTAGTAGGTAATGCTTAGACGAGAGCGTCAATTGCATGTACACGTAGGTGCACAAGTGCATGTAAGTGATGAGCGGCACATATATGAACAAAGTATGCGACGGCACAATGAGGCCAGTTGTATAAGATTTTACGTAAAACTGCCCTCGTGGAATAACTTGCTGTACTTTTGTACTTGCGCAACATCGAAAGCAAATGAAATTACGAAGGCACGAATACTCTTGTTTTCTATTTTGGTAAAATATCGAGGGCATATTACACTACATAAAATTTAGTCCAATTTCTTGTATATTTTTACAGCAGTTTTATGGATAAATTATGCACGTGAATATATGGAGCCGCGTGTGATAGATTATGTTAAGTCGAAAGCTACTTTTGTAAATTTACTTTTTTAAATGGTGTGTTTTATTTTGTGTGTGTGTGTGTGTGTGTGTGTGTGTGCGTGTGTGTGCGTGTGCGTGTGTGCGCGCGCGCGCGCGTGTGTGTATGTGTGTGTGTGTGTGTGTGCGTGTGTGCGCGCGCGCGCGCGTGTGTGTATGTGCGTGACCTATTTTGTTTATAAACGGGATTGGAGATCGCACTAAACATTCATACGCATTCCGATTCAATATTTCATCAGGATTAGCTGAATTCTAAATAATACGGTGCAAAAATCCAATAGAATGCATGCGCATATTCATGTATGAATACACGTTATTGATAAATATGTCCCTCTCACACTCTCTCGCTCTAACACTTTCTCTTTCTCAAATCTCACTGGGATTTATTGATAAAAATTGATAATAAATGGATAGGTGAAAATTTTGAATAGTTTAATAATTATTTAAATTTACATAATCTGTATTAAGTTATTGATTAATAGCTACATTTTCATTAATATAATATTATACTTTAAAGATTTCTGGACATCCTAGAAATAATTTTATGACTGGAAGTACATATTTAACTATCGAAAAATTAGAAGAAGATGAAACTTGGACGTCTGTTGCTACAGATGCAGATTGGGAAACCAAGTAAGATTAATTAAATGTCAAAGTTAGCTTTTAACTATAAAATTTATTTCTCAATTTTACATTTAGATTTATTTGGGAAAGAACCTCGATAATCCTAGGTTCTAGTCAAGTAATTATAAAGTGGGAAATACCAGAGACTGTTTTGCCTGGTGAATATCGAATTCGACACAACGGATATTATCGTTATATTCTTGGTGGAGTGTATCCTTATCAGGGTGTCACCGGAACATTTCACGTAAATATTTTCAAACACAATTTATTTGATATAAATTATAATATCATACAATATTAATCATATATGTTGACAATATATTTTTTGTTCTAGGTTAAGACACCTAATTTGAATTACTGATTTTACGTAGGTCTGGCTACTTATTATGACAAAGCAAGAATAATTTTCGACCGCTGCAATGAAAATTATAAACTAAATCCTTGCCATCGCAAATATTTTGCAAAATAAAAGTCAATGAATTTTTAGACTATTTAATAAATAATTCAAATAGGAATAAGATTTCTAAATACGATTCATCTTATATATTATAGAACAAGTTGTAACAAATTATCATCAATCAATTTATAATAATTCAAGAACATAAAAATTGATAAAAAGATAAGTCAAATTTAGGATACCCAACATTAAGTTAATATATTAATTTAATTTTACTACGAATCATGTAATTACTACCAGTGCACAAAATGATGTAATGTATATGTTTATATTATTGTAATAGATTTTTTACTTTTTTTTTCTTATGTATATTGTAAAAGTAAAATGAATGGATATGAATATTGAAAATAATTCCAATCTAAATAATACAAAAATTTTTTTATTATATTAAAATTAAATCTTAAATGTAGTACAAAAATTAATTAAAAAAAAACTTATTATTACATAATCGTTTTATACATTAATTCAATTAATATTAAACCAAATTTTATTTTCATTCAAATGAATATATCATTTATTATATTATTTCAATATAATATTATCGAGTAAATTATGAAACAAATGAAATTATTTTATTCAGATTTATTTTATGTTGTATATATGAAAAAAGAAATAATCAAAATAGTTTACCATATTGCTATTAATTTATTGATATCTATTTAAAAGAAAAATTTAACTTCATCGTCTATTCTTTTATTATCTTATTATGATATTAAATATAGTTATATGACTTTCTAATGAATATTAATTAATTATTGATTCATTTGTTTAGAATTATACGTATGCAACTAATCCTTTTATGGTCCATTCAATGTTATAAACTTATTTTGTATTGTTAATTGTAAATTATACTAATCAATTAGTTTAGTTAATAATAATGATTATTATGAGACTTTATATACATTAAATATTTATAATTTAGTTATATGGTTTAATTTTTGCATTATTTTGTATGATTTTTTTTTTTTAGTATTTAATAAGTTTTTTTATCGACTGAATATCAAAAAATCTGGAATTATTATAAATTATTGGGTATTTTTACGAAAATATGATATAAATAATAAATAATAAGCGTTTAAGAAAATAAATCCAGCTTGTATTTATCGTATGATGTTTTAAAAGATAACTTAACAACTTGCAATGTATTTCGACTACAAATATAAATCAATATAAATTACAATTCCTATTGTTACAAATTTTTAATATTTAACCTCTCATCATTTATTCAAACATTTTCACCCATCATTACAAAGTAATCACACACCTTCTGAACTATCAGTATCGTAAATAATATATGTAAAATAACAACTTGATAACAACTTACATTGAACAAATATTTGAATAAATAACTTCATATCCGTTACATTATACGAAAGTGATTTTTAATTACTTTTTAATATTATGATTTTATATTTGAAAAACATCTGTTTTAAAAATAAACATTTTCGTTAAAAACTCTTTAAGCGTATGTACGTACTGGAAATTGATTTTTATGATTTATTTTTCTTTTTAAAATAAATTTTCTCTATTTTTTCATTCTTATACGTATTTTTCGTATGTTTTATAATTTATTAAAATATGGAAAAATATTGTATTCTTAAATAAAATTATTTAAATAAATAAGTAAATGAGAACACTATAAATAAAAAATAATCTTATTTAATCGTCGAATAGTTAAATTATTTCAAATATCTATTAATGTAATTATCTAAAAAAAAAAATAGTAGTTGACGATATTCCAATCATTTGTGAATAAAGAAGGTATAAAGTTTTTATAAAAATGTATTATGTATAAATGCTATGGATATGAAAAAAATACATATAAGTCTTGTATGTAAGTATGCATTTAATTATTTATTTATTTTAATTACCTACTTATTCCATTTGATAATATAATGCATCGTTAAATTTATTTATATAATATTAGAATAATAATTTAGACGAATATAATAATAATAATAATAATAATAATAATAATAAGAAGAAGAAGAAGAAGAAGAAGAAGAAGAAGAAGAAGAAGAAGAAGAAGAAGTAGAAGAAGTAGAAGAATTAGAAGAAGAAGAAGAATAAGAAGAACAAGTAGAAGAAGAAGATGAATCATCGTCATCATCATCATTTTACTGAAATAAATTAGTTATATATTAATGTGACCAAATGACATTAGAACATATCCATATATCAATTATCAAAAATTAATACACGACCGTGCAAAAATTTCGAAAAGTATCTTTCATAAAATAGATTAATAATATAAAGTTTTATTTTAATGATGTAAAATACAAAAATTTAAATAATTATTTATTATATGATTCAATATAATATGCTGATTGATGATTTAAAATTCTCGGTGGAAATTTGAGAAAATAGTATCAAATACAAATGTAAGACATACAGTTTATTTGTTTATTTTATTATTGCATAAAAAACTTAAAAGACAATATAATCAACACACATAAAAATGAAAGTACTGAATCAAAATATATGATATTAAAGCGTGATAATGAATTCCGTGTATTGTATACAATATAGCTACTTGAATATTAAGTTTTTGAGATTGAGTAATCAAATATAAAACTAAGAATAGGTAAAAATTACTAATATTAATTCATTCGAGAGGATTTTGGATTTTACAAATTGAATAAAATAATTCTTTCAAATATTTAATAATAAGTCATATAAAGATTAAAAATAATACATTCATATGGTACGTAATAGCTGTAATTTAATAATACAATATAATAATACAATTTTAGTAATATAATAATATAATATTATATAAAATAATATAATAATATAGCTAAGTATACTGTAATACAGTTGTTATACAATATAATAAATCAAAATATATAGTAAGTTTATCATTATATATAATAATACAATACACATTAATATAATTTTATTTCTTAAAAATTACTCTAACTAACATAAACATATACATTTATATTATTATTAATATCGATAATGTTATTATAATGAAAGAGTTAAATATATTTTATTGGAATTTTTAAAAATGTTTAAATTACATAAATTTAAATTACTAGTATATAAATTAATTTTATTTCAATCTTCAAATTATAGAATATTAATAAATATTTTAAATAATTAAGTTTTTAATGACGCGTTTTTAATTTATGTATGTATATTAAAATAGGAAAATTTTCAATATCCTAAACGATGATATTTGCATAATTTAGTCATGCATACAAAATTCTTATATTATTATATTATATTACATTATATTATAAGCATTATTTATATATGAATTTATTTATTTATTGCTATATTAATAATTAAAAAATGCTTAAAATGTCCATACAATATAGTATAGTTTCTTAAATTATGCTTATAAAAATTATATAGCATTGGTAATATTTATATTTTTTTATTATAAATTCCTAATGTAACTCATTTATTTACTTTTCTTAATGTATTTTTTTGTAAATCGCTTTACAAAAACAATGAGTTAATGATCGCTACTTATACAAGAAATTCAGTTAAATGTGTGACTAATGTATTTGAATTTCTACTTTTATTTATACGGTGACAGAAAAGGCTATTTGACCAAATTAATAAAATTTGAGATTATAATTGTAATTTAAATTTTTAGAAATATTTCAAATACATTGATACGTTTTTCTTAAAAGTTCCCGATTTAAGTATCAATGTATAAATATAATTTCAATTAAAATTTAAATAATACTTTAAAACTTGTTTTCAAAAGTCAGTTACATACACACTTTTTAAATAATTTATTTAACAGCGATAAAACTTACTAACCAAAGTAACCAATCTTATAGAACATTAAAATGATAAATTCTAATACACTTATTTGTATTTAATAAAATCAGATAATCAACAGACTATACGAACATAATAATTTTCTCGTAATATTTATTTGATCTTTATTTGAGCAAAATTATTAATGCTAATAAAATTCTTTCAAATGATTAATTTCAATTTTACAAACAAGTTTATTTATACAAATACATACCATTTCCTAACTAGTTATAGTAAAAATGATATGAATTCACAAATGAATATTAAAATTTTGTGGAACGATAACTGCTATTATAAATTCCATATCACAAATTCAAATAAATTTTATACACGTAATGTAAACAACATTAATCAAAACATTTTCAAACTTAAATAATTTTAAAAGTTTTGCGTAGATTGGTGTACTTCCGAAAAGAACAGTATTTTTTTATATTTTATAATATTAAATGCTTCGTTAAAAAGAATATTTTGACATTTCAAATATCTTGTCAAATCCGTTAAATTAAATTTTTAATATCGCTTTTTTAAATATACGTCCTAGTAATATCGACAAAATAATTATAAATCTTTTTATAAAAACGAGCAAAGTAACATGGAATTATGAGCTTCTTATAATAAATAAAAAGTGTTAAAACATATGAAATTGTGATTGTCCATCTAAAATGGTGCCTTTCATATTTAAGGTATTAAGATAAAATTTTAATATATTCATATTATAAGAATAATTTCTTATACAAAATGTCATTTCATAAATTGTTTTCCTCGAGAGTACTTATCCGAATGGAAAAACTATTATCAAATATTTCAACTTTACGCATAATTATATCGTATTATATCGTATTATTACACCTCGATATTCCTCTCACTAGATTCATCTAATCTTTCGAATTAATTATTCGGAGGATAAAGTATTATCCGCTTCAACTTCGCAATACCATCGACTGCCAGTATATAAAGCGTTTGATGCCTTAGTTTCGGCGAAGCCTCTTTGTCAATTTAATAGATTAAATACACATCATTACCCATCTCACAAGTTTTACTTGATCAGGCGGTACATGTTTTTCCGAAAATCACTTCTGAAAATCACGCTGACTCTATTCCAATGCTGCAGACGGTTCAGTAACATCCATCCGAGTATTGACCATATCACTGCACAAATAATGAATCGAACTTTTTGCTGTAATTTGGCCCACAGTACTCTAGCCGAGATAATAGGTAACTACTTGCTCACCCCCTAAAAGTCAATGCCAGAAGGGATCCTTAGCGTAAGTTACTCCATCAAGAAACTATCCATTTTTGCTTTATGTTTGGAAATGGCTTCCCCTACCCCTGCTACGGTCGATTCCATTTGGACGAGGTATTCTGTTTCCCTGCCCTGCTTATTATAACCAACGATTCTTTCTTCATCCACTATTGCAAGAAGAATTTTGGACTATAAATGATAATAACCATAAAAATAACAA